ATTCCCTTGATATGGCTTCATTGTTGAACTGTTCTTACTATTATGTTGATCTTTTAAAGGTTCCTGCAGAGAGTAATCAGCATTGAAAATCCAAGCCAGGCATCCATTCATCCAAGTAGCTAGAGAGAAATTCAAAAATTGCTCAAAAGTTTAAAAAGTCTTTAATAAGAAACGTGCAAAAAAATCAATTAATAGGACAATCTTAAACCTACATAATATAGAAGCTGAAAATAAATAGTTGTGAAATAGTCATCTTTTTGAAATCATGCTTAGCTCTGAGAAGGGAGAGAAGAAACATACCATCAAGAAATACAGAAATATTGTGATCTTGAGAAAATCTTGGACCGAAGACAAATCCTTTCAATCAGAAAGTATGCTAGCAATGACCTCTATTTGCACCCAGCATAGAAAAAGAACCAGTGAGTATAGGGTAATGAGGGCATAGCCCAGTACAAACATAAAGATCATCGCACATACAGTACAAACTGATGACAAATGTATCACTCCATCATCTTCCAATATAATTCTGTTAGGCCATCTCTAGATATCCATATAAATAAACTTCAAATCCAGATTGCCTCCTTAGTCAAACATTCAGGACCAACAAAGGACCATAAACTAAGGAGAAAACACACACTAGGGCAACCTATAGCGGGGCAGCCTACTATAAACTGAAAGCAAACTCCACATTCAATTGCCCTGATGATGTTACCTAATTGGGTAATGTGATGTTTGCAAGCAAAAAACCCAAGCTCAGAGAGCAACAAAGACTCCACAGTTCAACTCTGAGTTACATATATTGGAATAAAGTTTATTTTGACAAGCAGTTGAGCAGGAAGCAAATATGCATGCAGCAAAGCTGACTAAAATGGTCTCATACAGTTTTAAAGAACTGTTCTTCAATAAATATGGGACAGGTTTGAGTATGAAAGAAATCAGAAACAATGAGGTTGGATGCTAGATAAGAAATCACACATTGCAAAAGATAAATATTTGTGTGGAATCATTCACACATTTGGTGATTAGGAGCTTTCAAATTAGCGTAGTTGCTGAGAGGTTGAATATTACATAAAAGCACTGAACCAAGATCTGTTGAAATTGACGGTCCCTATTCACAGTATATTTCAAATTTTCAAATCAATGCAAGTATCTATCAGATTTATCACAATCATTTACTTACATATTCATTAAGTATTCCTTAATCATTAAAAAAAATCCTGTAGATGTCACCTGGAGAAAAGGATCTCTTGATCCGACCCACCTAGACAATATTCATCCAGTTTCTAACCTTCTCATTTGGTTAAAAAAAGTGTTGCTTGGCAACTTCAGAGGGTCTTGGATAAAATTAATTCTGTTGACCCCTTCCAGTCATAATTCAGGCCCATTTGGGCGCATGCGTGAGAATGGGAAATGGCTGCTGAGTCTCAACGCTCCGGCTATTGGGAAGGAGCAACAATAGATTCCAGGCGACCAGGACCCCGGATATGATAACGGAGGGGTCCCTGCAAGATATCAACATTCGGGCTTCCCGGGGAGGNCTTTGTTGCTCTTCTCTGCACTCTTTCCAGAGTCTCCACATCTTTGGTACATTGTGGCGACCAAAACTGGATGCCGTATTCCAAGTGTGGCCTTACCAAGGCCTTTTAAAGTGGCATTAACACTTCACGTGATCTTGATTCTCTCCCTCTGTTGATGCAGCCTAGAACTGTGTTGGCTTTTTTGGCAGCTGCTGTACACGGCTGGCTCATATTTAAATGGTTGTCCACTAGGACTACAAGATCCCTCTTCCAGCAATCAATAGGCAGGCTTATAAATGGAGAGGGCTCTTTGACTTCCTGCTTACAGATAGTCCTCAATTTACAACCGTTCATTTAACGACCGTTCAAAGTGGCAAGAACACTGAACAAAAGTGATTTATGACCATTTTTCATACTTATGCCCGTTGCAGCTTCCCCATGGTCACATGAGCAAAATTCAGACACTTGGCAACTAGCTCATATTTATGACGTTCGCGGTGTCCTGGGTTCATGTGGTCCCCTTCTGACAAGCAAAGTCAATGGGGAAGCCAGATTCACTTAACAACTGGGTTACTGGCTTAACAACGTGGTAATTCACTTAACAACTATGGCAAGAAGTTGTAAAATGAATCAAGAACTACCTGCATTTCTTTCTTGTCTTGTGGCTTGCAATTCGTTTAATACCTCCTGCAAAAAGAAAAGTCAGCAAATCAGGCCATTCATGTGACCAGTCCTGTTTATCATCAAGAATTATGGCTGTGAAGTGTAGGCTCACTTGAGGTCTATCTGTACATTGCCTTGTTTTGTTTTTAATGGCTGACAGCTATTAAGGAGGGAGATGGGATGTAGGTAGGTAGGTAGGTAGGTAGGTAGCTGATAAGTAGGTAGCTGATAGGTAGGTAGGTAGGTAGGTAGATAGTAGGTAGATAGATAGGTGATAGATGATGATAGATAGATGGTAAATAGGTCGCTGATAGATAGATGGATGGATGATAGGTAGGTAGATGATAGATAGATGATAGATAGATAGATAGATAGATAGATAGATAGATAGATGATAGATAGATGATAGATAGATAGATAGATAGATAGATAGATAGATAGATGATAGATAGATGATAGATAGATGATAGATAGATAGATGATAGATAGATGATAGATAGATGATAGATAGATAGATAGATAGATAGATGATAGATAGATGATAGATAGATGATAGATAGATAGATGATAGCTAGATGATAGATAGATGATAGATAGATAGATAGATAGATAGATGATAGATAGATGATAGATAGATGATAGATAGAT